TCATTAATCATTTTACTGTAAACACGTAAACAAGTCTTTTTTTTTAAAGCTATGTCAAACCCTGTGACATGGATTATTCCATGTAAACATTCCATAATAATTAATTCAAAGCATATTCACTAACAGGATGTTATATAAATTAGTTTATCAATAAAACTACATAGAATGTTCATTAAAAAGGTAGGTACTATAATTATCTAAAGTAAAAAAAAAAAACTGACTTATTGACCTATGAACCCAGTGACCTCGTGTTAGTGGCGGCATTGACATGATTTTTGTCTTCTCGATCCTGATTGGACGATCACGTTAAAATAACACAATTAATTTATGATTTTCAGTTCATTTATGAATATAATTAAAAATCTGAAGGTCGATTCATGCTTAAGAAAATAAAAGAAAGGATTTTCATAATTGGTTCTTTAATCTATTATCTCTTGGTAGAAGAAAACGGACATTAACGATATCAATCTCAATAAGGTTCTTCAAGTGAAAACCTCTATTAATTGCATTACTGAGGTATTATTGATAAGAAAAACCAAAGAGTTTAATTAATTTGTTTACCAATAAACCTCAAACTGGTACTTGACACCCCAGAGCGCATTCCTAGTATAATTAGACTGAGATCAATAAGTGTTTCCAGATTCCAGTGCAACTTTTTCTTCTGGAATTCTTGATGAGGTCAAGACAGCAAGGTCATCAACGACAGCAGGATTATTATTCCGTGTATGGAATTGAGGACATAGGTTGATCTTTGACATTAAACTTTCCTATATTGGAGCCTATGGGATAGTCAGTTTTGATAGGGGGGGGGAGAGATATTCCGCATTAATGTCTTTCGTATGACGATAAAAATAATATTGATCCTACAATCAAACGTTACGTAGATGGTTCACTGGCAATTTAAAAAAAAAATCTACATAAGTTAATGTAAACGATCACGCTTCTTCCAAAATTCGTGCCATATTTACGCTATTTTTAATTACATGTAATAGATTGAATTATGCTATTTTTAGAAATTTCGTTCGTTTAATTCACTTAAAATAATTATAAATTTTTATATTTTCTTATTAATTAATTACCAAACTTTACATTATCCAATTAAAAAAAAATTTTTATTTATATCGTCGTAATGGATAAAGCAGTCACATCCGCCATTTTCTTTTTAAATTTTAAATATAAATTATGACATATTAATATATAAAACAGGTATTTAGGTATTTTAAAAGCATACGGTAATCCGAGAACACCAGGAAAAAATAGAAAAACACTGTAAAAGGAGAATTTTACATAGCAAAGAGGATCATCTTCGCAATTAATTTTGAAATAATTTCGGGTGTCTTATCGAAGTATTCGGCTATTAAATCCTAATAAATTTTACTCACTGACGGGAATTTTCTGACTAGTTTTTGGCTTCACTCTTTTGATATGTCAGGTCGTGACGTACGTGATAAACGTGACGGTTCTACACGTAAGTTCGACGACTCGACAGTAAATAAAACCGCTCCATTTCCCCCCCCTCTTTCGAAAAACTTGTTACTTTTAGGCTATTACTATTATTATTATTACTAGTAGAAAATTATTTTTATTTTTTTTTACTTGATTTAAAATTCATAATTATTATTTTCTTATTAATATTATATATATATATATATATATGTACTGTTGATAAATGACAGCGTGTCGAAAAGAAACCTGTTATAAACACTAAGTGTCATTAAAACATGCAATTTCTGTCATGTGTCCTCGCGAATAAATTCCTTCTTCGTCTTATTATCTAGCCGCTTTCAATTTGTAAATGGCATTTGTATATAGCATTAAATGGCAAAAATACAAAAAAAAAAAATTGATAAAATTTTAATCACTGTCACTTCTAATTTAAAATATATTCTAGTATTATAGGATAAAAGCATAAAATAATTAACTAGAACATGTTTTCAATGATTAACTTATCGAAAATACGGTGAAATATTTGATTATATTACAATTTACTCAGCTTCAAATAACGAATATATTTTAAATATTTCATAGGAAATTTCGTATGCCTAGAAGTGTTTCATAAATTGAATAATTTTCTTGTCAATTTACTCGATATTTTTCTATATTAAAGAGACAAAAATAAGATTTAAATATAAACAATTTTCTAAAATAATATGTATATAAATTGGTCTATTCTGTCGTGTGTTTCATTGATTATTTAATAAATAAATAATCAGTATAAGCGACGGTGGATAAACCATATTTACAGTCGCTCGAGTCTATAATCTAATTATTACATATAAATTTTAATTTTCTTTCAGAATAAATAATAAAATAAATATGTTCCATTAAACCGTACATGATAAATAAATAATTTTATTTTTAAAGAAAAGGGGAATAAAGTATCACGTATTTTATTAATTTGTACGAAAATCCTACTTAAATATAATTTTATATTTTGATAAAATAAAGGACAAACAAACAAACGTTCATCATTTCTTAATGTAGTTAAAATAGGACATAAAAGATCAGAGTTGATGATATTAAAAATGATCCTTGGCAAAAAAAAAAAAAAAAAAAAAATTGAAAGTTGTAAACATTCATTTTATTAAGTAAACTGGCAAAATTCTTAAGAATTATGAAGGAAAAACTGCCAAGTTACAATACTTAAAAGTATATTTGGCTTACAATATTTTCAAATAAATTGTTTTAATGATAATTACGGTAAGAGATTATTAATTACACTTAACATTTACAGGATTATTATTGAAGATTATTCAACGAGCACTCTTATAAATACTAATATTAGTCTGTTTCTCTACGTTGATCAAAAATCCATGTAAAATATTCTAAAAGACATAATTGAGCACAGTGAATTTCCAGAGTTGAAGATTAAAGGAACCCAAGATTGTATGGATTCTATACAATGTTTTTTTTTCGCTTACATCTTTAATATAACAACTTAATTTGTTGTAGTGTCCTCAATATATATCTTGCACCAATCCTTATATTCCTCTGAGAGGCCCTGTTCATACAACACCTCAATGTATCTTTAAGAAAACCAGAAAAATTCAGATAAAATATTAAATCATTTCAATAAATAATAAATATTAAATTTAATATATAAAGTTATGATATAAATTTCGAAGTTAAAAGACTCTTTCGAAAATCAAAATTCAATCAGCGAGCCAAAAAAAAAATGTCAATAATCTATCTCCAGTCTACTGCCTTAACAATATTCACCAAAGGCATTATAATGCTCCATAAATTCTGTAGACTGAAATCACACTAAAAATATTCCATAAATAGTAGAGAAATTCGAGGAAATATGCTGTTAAATATAAAAAAAAAAGATATATGGATTCGTTAGTGAAGTGAAATCTCTTTTAAATTGATGGCAAAAGTCCAATACTTTAAAAGAAATAATTTTCATATTTACATAAATATATTGAAATATATATATTTTTTTATATTTTTAGTCGAATCTATTTTGAAAAATACAAGATTATTTATTGTAATATTTAAATTAGTAATTCCTAAAGTGGACATTAAGGGTGGTAGAAGACAGGAGGGAGCACTGGAAGGTGGTAGAAGACACGAGGGACCACTGGAAGGTGGTATGTTGGAACACGAGGGCCAAAATTCATTTTGAAATAAAGAAAATACACGAAATATAGACAATAAAAGGGGGATGATAGTCTGAAAAGTTTAGGGGGAAGAGTGGTTTAGATGAACAGAAACAAGCGCGGTTATAAGTATATGAAACCTACGATTGCGATCAACACATAATCAGAAACAAGTAAACAAATCTAAAATTTCACTTATCTAAATGAAAATTTGTTTAACCAGAGGAAAATAAGTTGTTTATTCGACAATTTTAATTGATTAAATTTCATTATTTAAAAGGAACATTCTTCTCAAAAATTATTGATTTATATAAGAAGAGGAGGAGGAAGAGAAGAGAGAGAGACATTGCTTTAGAATAATTTATAAGAAAAAATAAATAAATAAAGATAAAATATGTTGCAATTATTCAATTAATTAAAAATACTTTGAAGTTAAAGTTCAGAAAGATAAATGCAAATCATCAAATAACCGTATATTTAATAATAATAGAGAGTTAAATTTGAAGTAAAGGACCTTCAATAATTCATTCGAAAAGAATATCACTTTAATTGCTTTTATAAATAGACAAAAAGGGAGACAGATCATCATCTAGTATACCTTGAATCTGCTAGGAATTTTGTGTTTTCAGCGTGACGTGAGAGATGCTCTTGTCACGAAAGACAGAAAGAAGGTCAGAAACGACCCAAAACTAAAAAAAATGCTTGTAATTATTTCTCCTTAAGATTAAAATTCCCCTTTTCTCCCCTAAAAATTAATGAATTTACAATTGGAAAGATCAAATTCACTAACTAATAAAACTATTAAACGATAGATGAAAGCTAACCGTGGAAAAGAATAAACAAAAATTCAGGAAGTTATCCTCTGGTTAAGCAGGATATTCTTTTAGTAAAAGTGCCAATTAAACATGCAAATTTCACTAGTCCAAATACAAAACAGGTTACTACTTTCGTGAATACTCCGAGCTAAATTCGATATAAAAAAATCCTATTCAAAAATTAATTAATTAATTAGCAAAAGTGGCATTTTCAAAAGCTCTCCCCCCCATTATAAAGAGCGAGAAATCATCGAAAGCATTGATAAATTAAGAATGCGCCCGAAAAAAATAAAAAAATAAGTGGCCTCCATCTTAGAAAAATACTAGATAAAGACTTAATTATGACCTCAACCTTCAATTGGTGTTGGCATTTAACTATTTCGTAAAAAAAAAAATCCTGAAGAATGAATCAAAATAAAGAGCGTGTGGTGTGTTTCTTTTTTTTTGTCAGTGGTTCTTTAACAGATGAGCTGGTCTGTTTTGGCCTCGGGCGAATCCTGACAAAAGTGGGAAGTGGGGGAGGATGGGGAACGATGAGTATATAATGTTGAAACACAGGGAAGTTCCGGTGTTGTAGCTCAGGCATATTAGTGAATCTGATCTTAAAGCCGCTGAAGGTATCTTTACGTGACAGGTAAGACTCTTCTTCTTATACAAATTCCGAATATATTTTAATTACATTTATTAATAATATTACTTTTATTATCGGTTTAGATCAAAGACCTTTATGTGTCTTTTAATAACACTTATCAATATTCTGTTAAACGCTCTTCCTGTTAAAAAATTTTATTAAAAGGATATTGACTCGTCATTTTTATTAATAACTTTTTGTTTTTATTTTTAAATTTAATTGTGACGTTATAAAATAAAAGCGAATGTCACTAAAATCATTTGTGACGTAGACTTAATTAATACGTCACTATTTCCGTCAATTTATTCAAATTGTTATTAAAATCGATTTTTATTAATTTAAAAAATTTAATTGGAAAAATTATTTTTATAAAAATACATTTTATTAAATTGTGTAATATTTTAATTCTTTTATTTTTTTTTATAATGTAAATCTAAATATAAAGCAAATTTAAACTAATTTTTAATATACTTATATTTAAAAAAAATAATTAAAGAAGTAAGTAAGTAATTATTTAAAATTTAAAAAAAGTCAGACCTAAAACAGAAAGTAAATTATATAAAAATCGAAAAAAAAAACAAGTACGAGACAACGACGGTTAATTCAATTGTTGACGATTGAAAACGACATTGTGTTTCGTCATAGAGAAAGACCGTTATTCGATTTTTCAAATTTTTGAATTTCGAACGGTCCAATCGAATTAGAAACGAATACCTTTTCGATAATGTTTGACCCATATTGGAATTACCGGTTACAAATTAGGTTAGGTATGCGAGCATAGGTCGACGTCACTAACCGTTTATTTTCCTTACAGAAAAATTATTTGAAAAATGTGGAGAAACTTGGCGATCAGTTGTATATGTTGCGCAGGTAATTTAACAATAAATTAATTAAAGAACACAATAAAAAAATAAATAAAATAAAATAACTAACAAATTAATATTTCAGTTTTAACTCTGGTCTGGGGGAAAGCCTTATTGAGAGTGAGTATTTTTAATTTAAAAATAGTAAATAAACAATACAAAATTGAACTTAAACAATTAAAACAATTGTTTATATAATACAAAATAAAGAATATTTTTTTTATTTATTTTTTTTTCGCTTTCAGTCTAAACGATGGGAAGAATTTCCTGACGTGGAATTCACGTTTGATTGTAGCAATCGTCCTATTGGATTTTACGCAGATTTGGAATTCGAATGCAAAATATTCCACATGTGTGATGCATACGGCCGAAGAGTACCTCATATATGCCCCAATGACACTATGTTTAATCAACAATACAGAGTATGCGATTGGAATCACAAAGTGAATTGTAAAGATGCACCAAATTTTTACCATCTAAACGATCTTATTTACGAAGCACCCCCTCCAAAAGATGACAGACCATAGTGTGATCGTGACACCTAATTTTGTCCGTCCTGAGTGGGCGCCATTACAAATTTCTGTACAAAATATGTGAGAATGTAAAAGACTGTATGACGTACCGAAAAAAAATATATATTATTATATAAATATTTCATGTTTTTTTTTTTGAATAAGTAATAATTTGTCGGTAATTTAAACGTGTTAATTCGTACATCACAAGTGGCTGTGTATAATGAAAAACGGTTGATATAAAAGATAAATTAGTTAAAAATTAGTTTTGTTCGCAATTTTAATGGGAATGATAACGACAAATAAATCGTATTTTAATTAATAAATAACATTCAGGGGAGTAAAATATTGATTAAGTGACATGGCGCCATCTGTTAACATAATTAAATACTATATTCTTATATATTATTTCTTTAATTGGAAGAAAATAATTATTTCACATTTTCATATATAATTTATTATTTAAAATGGAAAAAACAAAAAATATATATATAAAAATTTTGGGAAAATTGAAAAAGTAAATTATTATTTTTTAATCAAATCATTTTTAACTAAAAATATAAAAATTAGAAGGAAAAAAAAAACTTTAATATTATTATTATTTTTTCTTGTATGGCAATTACATTTTCCCATTACAAATTCAATTTAACTTTTTTTTTTCCACTTTCAACATAAGCAATAAAAATATAAAATAAAAATATTTTTATTATCTGAATTTAAATATGTTTGAGAAGAAAATTTTCTTTGACTTTTTTTACTGCCATGTTTATTACATCTGGATGAGTTAAACAAGTCACCAGTTCCCTTAAGAATTCATTTTCCTGGGTTCGGTCTTTTGTATCATCCGGCGCTTGCGATGAAAAGTCCATTTCTTGAGAATTAAGCAGTTCTCGGGGGCCGATTTCTTCGATTAGTTTTAAATAATCTTGGAAAGAAACTGAATTAATATATTTTATGGTATTTTTTAATTGTTTACTTCCATCTTTAACACTCAGCTCTTCTTTCATTTCTTTTCCTTGTAATTTATTTTCTCTTTCTTTTAAATTAAATTTCTGTATTAAATTATTGACATACCCGACGGTTTCTTCTGTGGGAACTAAACTCTGTTAAAAGCAATGAAATTCTTTTATTTCAATAGTTTACTTATTAAATTAAATATAAATTGTTTTATTCATGAAATATAATTATGAAAAAAATAAAATATAATCATAAAAACATTAAAATTTCTTTACAATTTGCTATTTAACATTTAAAATTCTTCCTGGTTTTAATGTAATTTAATTTTGTCGTTCGGCCAAACCTCATTTTCCCACAGCTACCTAACAATAAATTTATAATGGAATTTCATTTTAATGATTTTTTGATAATTAGAAATGCCTCTTGAATAATTACATAGAAAATCATTACTCGTATCATCAAAAATAGCTATTTTATAAGTATAACCATAATATCGAGGATGAAGTGTTAATATAATAAAGTAACAGAGTGTTGTTTAAAAATTATCTGTAGGAGAATGATATGGATTTTTCTTTTCTGTGGCAATTCAATTAAATGAATCTTCCTCTCTTCTCCCACGACTTATTATGTAAAATTAAAAGCGCTCGGTATTTTTCCATTACAAAAAAGTAAAGAACTGCAAATAATTTAAATGCTAGAGATGTAATAAATATTATATTTGCAATTTTTATTTAAAACAGCTTCTTCAATTAAAATTATAAAATTAAATCTATTTCTAATCAGATATACAGTATTAAAATTGTTTAATTATTAATAATTTATGTACAGTATAAGCTAGTTACATGCAATACATTCAGTATAGGTAATGAATAAAAATGTTAATGTTTCAAAATATTTATTGGATTTTTTAGAAAAACTAAAAAAGAAAAAAAAGTTATAAATTTAAATTCTTTTTTTTCATGTGAATTAAATTTCAAAAGAGATTAAAAATTAGTGAAAAAGTTAAATATTCTGAAATTTTTATAGTTCAGTTGATAAATATGATGAATTTCTTATTTAAGAAAATGTATTTTGTATTTTTGTTTCAATCTAAAGTTTTTATTCTTTGAAGAAAAATAATATAAAACTAATTTTATAATAAAAATTATGAAGCTGTTTATTATAAAGTTACATTTATATATTTAAAATTAAATTGTTTTTTATAAGTAACAATTTGAACAAATAAATATCACATACTGTTGTTATTTAAATAATATATATTAGAGCATAAATTATACACATTTATACTAAAATATATTATTAAACATATAAATAACTAATTCATAAAGATAAAATATGTATAAATGTATAATGCAAAATTTTCTAAATTTTTTGTTTAAATAAATGTAAATTTATAAAAATAGTAGCTAAGAAAAAAAATAATAAATCGAAAAAAATGTTTTTTTAAATTATACTATTAATATGAAAACAGAGCAATAAAATTATTTAAATTTAATATATAAACAAATTTTAATTACTGATAAAAAAAAAAAAACTAAATTTTGTTTAGAATTAAAAGGTCATTTAAAATGTAAGAAATAATATTTGTCGTGTACAGCAATAGGCAAATACACTTACTATATAATAATCTAAACAAATACTGTTATTAAAATGTTTGCTTAAGTTAATATATTCTATTTAAATTGTAATTGATTCAATTCAGAAGTGTACGCAATAATATCTGTCACGTGTAATTATGATTTCATTTTTTAAGGAAACAGCAATTATAAAGTTTTCATATATGTTTCTATAAGCTATTAATTACAGTTATACTCACCATAAAAAATACACTTTAATATTTAGTAATATTTATATGATCTTACATAAACATATTTAAAAATATTGTATTTGATATCACTTGTATGCAAAATTAAGTTTCCTGTTAAAATCTCAATTGGAATAAATAAAAAAATAGATCAGTGATTATGATGATTTTATTGTTGAAGAATGATTGAAGTCAAAGGCAATGCTTCTCAAATACAGTATCTTTCATGATGTTGATGACACCACATTGTTATACCAATTATTATCAGATAAGACATTTACTTTGAAAGATAAAAAAATGTCTAGTGGATAAAGATTTAAAATCAGAATAATGGCATTAGGTTGACAGCCTTAAATATGAATGGTTCCAACTCTTAGTTATCAGTAAGTCTAAAAAATTTTGCGAGTGCACTATTGGCAAACAAAGAAGTATGAACTATTTCAGAACTGCATGCAGAATGACTGATAGAATTTGATGATAAAATAACATATAAGGGAGGAAAAATCTCTTTGATGATAGACAACTTCTTAGATGTATTACACCAATATCAAGTAAAAATAAACAAAAATCTGTCACTTCCCATTAAATGGTACTTTAAGCTGTGGCCAATGAATCAAGGAATTATCAGCTCATTAAAGAAACTGTAAGGACAACAAGTGTGAGAACCCAGCCTTGACAAAAATTTTGAGGAAAAAATTTTCGTCTTTTGAAAGTTAAATTGGTTTAAATCCCAGTGGAAAAATTTTCAATTTAATGATCAGAGGATGATCGTATCTTTCACCCTAGAGTCACTTCCTTTTCCAGGTGACATATCGAATGTGTCACTGAAAACTAACTACAAATATTTACCATTGGTCGAAAATAGTAACATGGCTTAAAGAGGGTGTCAAAATCAAGGGGACCACTGAAATAAAAGGGTAGAATCGAGGACAAGAGAGTTGTTGGGACCTGGGAGTTTGCCAACCCACTTCTTTTTCATGTGAGTGTAGTTTAACCATGCTCCATCACCAATTCTTTCGACCACCCTTTCACCGATCCCTTCACCATAGGTGCCCTTAGCAATGAACATTTGATAGTGAACTGTGCTCATCAAGGAACCTAATTCTCCATCCTGTCATCCAGATGTTTGCGATCTCAAGACTTCAATCAAGCCAATCAAGGTATTTAGCATCGCACGTAAAAATGTAAGCTCTCTCTCTCTACTAGGGACCTGTTAAAATAGTACCTAATAGTATAAAGCTTAATCAATTATGTTACGCTATATGAGCCTTATCCAGTATGTTATGCTATATAAGCCTTATTCAATATATGACACTATATAAAAGCTATAATGGAACTCTTGTTATCCTATATATATTATATATATATATTTCATCCCAGGTCCAAGCGCCTACAAACATGACTGCTTACGCGAAAAATGAAATTAGTTGCCATCAAGGTTTCTATATCTATAGACACAGTGATGTCAGTCCTAACGTGGACAATGCCAATCCATTGCTGACCCCTCAGTCACACAAGTGTTGTAACATATTCTTCAAAGTTTCGAAATTGAACAAATATCCTATAGCCATTAACAACTGAATTGCAGACGTACTATTAAATAGTTTCTTTGTGTGAAGTTAAGCTAGTAACAATAAAAAATGGCTGGAAATAGGAGGTATTGAGCAAAGACAGTGGAATGGAAACATAAAATCCAGTTTTAGAAACAGATGATGATGCAATCTTGGATGATCTACAATGAAACAGATTTTATGAAGCAACAAAGATCCACTGACATTACATTTGAAGATTATGTTGTATATTTATATTCATTCACTGAATAACATTGCATATTTAATCTCTACACTAATGAAACTTTTAAATCATTAGTGTCATTCATCATTTTGTATGCTGGTGATAGAACCACAACTTCTGAATCTGTGATGTAAGAATCAACTTTAAGAATCAGTTTTTTCTTCCAAAGAGATCACAAATGTTATATTAAATGTATTAATATAACATGTATACAGGCATACCTCGACTTACATCGTTTTGAGTTACGTTGTTCCCGATTATATGTCGTTTGTCAAAAAAGTATATGGAAAATAAAAATCAAGTTTAAGTCATTTTATTCGACTTTACGTCTGACCGCCACAAATATTGAAGTCGTAATATCACTAGAAAAACGTTTAAAGCACATAAAATCATATTAAAATATATACTAGTATGTTCTGTATTTACAGTACATGCATTTGTAAATTTAGATTACTTTTTTCTGCACTATATTAAAAACTAAAATTTATTTTTTTCTGTTTCTTTGCAGACACACTAAGGTGACATATATCAACACTTGGCAACTTATTGACTATTTATTCAGTTGGTTTCATCAGAATCAAACTAAAATTTATTTGTTTGTAAGCTTAAAATAAATTTTTATTAACCATATATTATTAAAAATGCATTAATAAATAAAATACAGAACCGGGAATGGTAATTTATGGTTTAGCCTAATGATAAGTAGATTCGGAGACAAGTAAATTCGACTTACGTCGTTCTCCTGGAACCAATTACCAACGTCAGGCAAGGTATACCTGTATTTCTTTTTAATAACACAATGTTTTATTTGGCATGCTTCATTACTATAATTAAGTAAAAAGATAATGAAAAGAACAAAGAAGTTCAGAAAATGGTACCACTCAGGAGTCTTAACACAAAGAAACTAAAAAAAAGTTTTAACACAAACAAACTATCCATGTATCTCTCTGTAATAATGATCCTGACTTCAAACATAACTCTTCATCCAAAAAACTGTAAAAAAATGTTCTCAAAGCATAATATAACATGTTGGAGGAGAGAAGGAAAAAAACTCAAGACATTTTTACTGAAATCTCAATCAGAAAAACCATAAAGCCTGTTGATCTAAATGACCTTCAACAAGAGCCATCTTTAGATCTCCAACAATATTTAAAAGTTACATTAGTGTAGAGATTAAATATGCAATGTTATTCAGTGAATGAATATAAATATACAACAATGTCTATTAATAGAGATTCAAAGTTTACATCCAAAATCTTCATATTTTTTGAAATACTTCAAGAATTAAAAACAAGTATAGGATAATTAATTTTCATTATGATTTTTCAACTAATATTGCTAAGTAAACATATTCAAAAAATGAAATCATATTTAAATAATTTTTTCCTACTTCTCAATAATTAATTATATCAATTACATTTGTAATAGATTTACAGTTATAAATTTAGAACTATTGGCTACAGTGTATGTTGTAAACAACATACATTTCCAAATAGAATAGATGCTATGATAAGTGGCTTTCCAAACATTTCAAGCATTATATTAAACAAAGTAGTAAACCATTTTTTTTTTTTTGCCAGTAGTAAGCATTGAAGAGAAACATGTTAATATAAATTCTTGATGACGATAAAATCATTTTAAACTATAATATTCATTGAGAAATTACTTCTCATAACTTCAAAAGTGTACTTTTCCAAAAAAAAAAAAAAAACACAAATTGCAAAGATAAAGATTACAAATATTATATTAAATGTATTAATATAATATGTATATCTCTCTTTAATAACACAATGTTTTATTTGGCATTCTTTATTACTATAATTAAGTAAAGATTCAAATTTAAATAAAAAAGAATATCATAAAGAAAAACAAGTATAGGATAAGGAACTGTTCAATAACTAAGTGCTTCAAAACCATTATTGCTGCCAAAAGGTAATGACCTTTTGGCAGCAATAATGGTTTTGAAGCACTTAGTTATTGAACAGTTCCTTATCCTATACTTGTTTTTCTTTATGGTAATGACCTTTTGGCAGAAATAATGGTTTTGAAGAAAAATGAATGGTAATCATTGCCAAGTTGTTATTTTATACATTCTATTTACATTATTTACACAGTTGTGTAAACAGATTAAGTTTATAAAAATTTATTAATTAATCAATTATATTATATACAAAATTTGTGAAATGGGTCTATGAAATTCTAATTAATTATGCTTTATTACACTAGCCCTTGATATATTTTGCTTCATTATATTGCTCATTTGGATATATCCCACTGTTTTTTCTTCCAAATATAAAAGCACTTTAGCCAGTAACTTTTAAGAAATCAGTTTTCACTGAATTTCTACTGACAAAAAACTATTATTATATGAAATATAATAATAGTTTTTTGCCAGTAGAAATAATTCACAATAATCAAGTCTTCAAAGAGATTGAAAATAGACAAGACAGATGAAAAGATACATTGGATATATTGCACAATCTGATATATCATTCATTTAATTTATCTCTTGACATGTGTGACATAACAAGGAGTTACTATACTTGAGTTTTAGTTTTACTTGAAAAGAAGTTTATATAAGTTAAAATAACTTACTTCTGTAGGATTTAGCCAATCTTCATTTTCTGGTTCATAAATAGGTATTAATCCTGTCATGATCACTCGTGTTATAGCTTCTTCCAATCTTTTATCATCATCAGTTTCCTAAAGAATAAAAAGTAAACAATGAATAAAATAATTTAATTTTAGACCAATTAACATTATACTATCACATTAAATTCAAATAAATATGTGTATTCTCATGTGTAATTATTACATAATTATTTATAAAAATTATGAAAAAATGTATAAAGAAAATAAAATAAGTGAGAAGAATCAAATTTTGTGTTCTTTCAGCTAATTACTTGGAAAGAGTTGATAAAATTTAGTTTGTTTCATTGTTGGAATTATCATTAGTAATAATTGTACATTTAGCATTTATTAGTAATGGTAAAAATTTAAATTTTTAAAACAGTCTTATTACCTTTATTTACATATATTTTTACATACCACAGAGTACATTTAAGATACTAAAAACATTTCACTTAAATAATTTAAATTTCATATTAACACTTTGTAAAATGGTTAATAATAAATTAGTAAAGATATTTTAATATATTTTAGTTAATTTTTTTTATATATACTAATATTATAAAGAGGTAATGTTTGTAAGTATGTAAATAAGTAAGTAAGTTTGGATGTAGCAGTTAATCTCCAAAACTACNTGTTTGCAGCAGGTAGTCTCCGAAACTACTCATCCGATTTCAAAAATTCTTTCACCAATATTTAGAATGGAACCTCAGGGTGGACATAGGCTGTATATTATTCCATTAAACATTCATATAAATTAAAATATATAATCTAGGTTAAGGCTTTTATGTCCAACAGATGGCGCTACGAGTACGATGCCCTAAGTTTGCTTTTCTGATGATGAAATAAAGCAGATCATCTATCTATTTATATAAATAAAAATGTAATGTTCGTTTGTTCCTACCGATTCCTTTGAAATTTGACACAACGCTGCATTCGAATATGCATGTGTTTTTATATAATATACGTGTCGAAATTCAACCCCACTGAAGGGAGATGGTTAGGATTAAGGCTTACGGTAAAGAACTCTGCTTCTATTTATACTATTTTAGATGTGGGTTTTTGCGTTTTTGATTGCATTTTAATAGGGTACGTCAACAGAAGAAGAAATTTTTCAAAAAATTTCCCCCCACGGGGGAAGTGTTATAAATTTATAATAGATACATTTTGATCCACAACAACGCGTGGCGGGGTCTGCTAGTTTTATATAAGATAGAAACTGAATATATCTTGTATTACTGTACTAATAAGATTAATGAGATAAAATGGAAGTTTTATATCTCAAATATTTTAAGTATTTTTTAAAGTATTTTTTTGGGATTCGTTAAAATAAATTTATTAATTATGAATCTCACTTGCCTGAAAATTTAAATTAAACATTTAAACACTTCTCAGCATTCTCAGCTTTATATTAAATTATATTTATTTAATTAAATTGAAATTTGTTTCAAAATTGCTAATTTATTAAAATTAATTTTTTGGCAATTTCATCACTTCAGTAAATTTCTTGCATCAAAAAAATTTTGAAAATTTTTATTAATATATATTTATCGTTGATTTTATATTTTCATTTGTAATCTGCAGGTATATTTTATTAAATACAGTGGAATTTGATGAAAACTGGTCATTCAGATAAATGAAATTTTGGATAATCCAGAAACTTGTTTTTGTATTTTGGGTACCTCAAGCACCATTCGCACAATAAGTGCATTTAAAGTTTCATGAACTATAAATACTGTAATGTAATTACTGTCTAATTTAAAAGTAAATCAATTTACTCAAAATCTAACAACATTATATATACATTGACCTCATTTTTCAACACTACAAGTGAGATATGATGGTAGTAATTTCCAGTTACATGGAGGCTTCAGTCTTTGTATAATTGTACTCCATAGTATATATAACAATACACATATTAGTTTCTTTTTCTTTTTTTGAAAACTGTTCAAATAATTGAATTTCCAGTATACATTTATTTCTTTAATATATTATATTAAATATACAGAATTATTTCTAAACATTATTATACTTCACAAAACTTGGCTTGACAGAAGCTGAAAATATTTTTTAAAGAAAATAAAGAAGTTGATCTCCTTAAATTAAGTGGTGTGAAGTAATATTCCAAAGCTAACTAAGAATTATAATCTAAGAACAATATAAACTGACAAAAATAGCTATTTATAAAAAAAAACTAATACAAATAAAATGTTAAAACACAAATTTGTCTTTTTGGTTTATTTCTTATAAATTACAGTTCTTACAATGATTAACTTTACAATAATTTCAGTTATGAATTAGTCTCTTATAATGACGAAATGAACTTTAAAGGACACCAACTCAATACAGAATATATAAACAAAAAAACTGCTCACAAAGTTGAACAAAACTCAGCATTTAAACAGTTGCATGAATGTTTTCATCTACCTTCCAGAAGATATCTTCAGCTGGAATATTACAATTCTATGAGAAAATTCTTCATTTATAATCGCACGTGTAACATGGTAGATGTGGCACCTGGGTATTGGTGGATACAGATGATGTCGTAGAATTTGTGTCAGAAGGAATGTCATCAGCTAGATGTTGATGAACATAAAACTTCCAAGCCAGGGGAAACGACTCTGTGTCCTTGTGATTGATGGCATGCTTCTTTACTGAAGCCCTTTAGATCTCATATTTCTCCAAATGCTATAAAAGCATCCTATCATACATAGAGTGGAGGATCCTGGATAGATGAAAGAAGACCTCCACTTTCAAGTCTGAAGCATAAGAAGCAAAGGCAACAAAAATGGCCTTTCTTTTCTTGTCCTCATGATGTACTTTGAGGGATGATTGTATGTGTCTGCATGTAACCCCAATGTATGCAAGAGGGATATTGCATCTGTGATTGTGTAGAGAAACAGAGGACACTCCAGGGAGGTGGTGCCAGTTTTTGGAGTCCTTGGCATTACAAAGGAGAGAAAAGATGGTAGGGTATGTTAATTGCCAAACAAAAACTGGAAGATTTGGCAATTTCTCTGTAGGTAGGGCCAAGGTGTTATTGATAGTAACTGTTCTGAAGTTGATGTCCATAGTAGGTGCACTTGGTGTAGTGTGAGCAGGCAAGTGGTGGGCTTCGTAGTGGAAATGAGGTCTTTTAACAGAATTCAGAACATACCTGTGCTCAAGTGCTTGCCATAGAATGTAACAACATTCCTTCTCCCTATCCTGAATATTGAAGTAATGGGTAAAAGCCCTTCAAATCAAGGTGTTAAATGCTGCCAACTTGTAATAAAAACGGTCATGCATGCAGGAAAAAATGAAAAATGGATGGTAAGTAGGTTTTCAATATATGCTAGTTTTGAAGCACGAATGGTCAAGTTATATATATAGATCTAGAAAATGCCCCCATTCCACTGCTTTGCTCCAAACTGAGTGCGAGGCTGTAGGGATTGTGGTTGTACCGCTCAATGAGATGGTGTCTGGATGGTGGTGCCATATGACAAGTATTGTCATCTATGTATCTCACATAAAAGGCAATGCAATGAAGAAAGTATGGCAGAACTGCAGCTTCCAACTTGTGAATCACCAATTTACTGAGTATGCCGGAAATCAGATTTCTCATTGATACCCCTTTGTATTGCAAGTAAGGCTGCATGTCAAAAGAGAGGTTACCCACCAACATTGTTCCATTTCAAGTAGCCTATAAGGAAAGATCAACTCTGCTTATGTGGATCATGTTTCATGTGATGATGAAAAGGACGACAAGAAATACTTCAATATTTCTGTATGTATTATTTGTATTTTTACAATATGTTTTAAATGTATATTTTATTTTCTGTGCCCTTTTACTTTGAGAAAATTTCAGTTTATATAGCATACATATACTATCTCTAGACTGAAAATTAATAAAAAATATATTTACAGTTTGAAGTTGACCATTAGCTTGTTCCAGTCTGCTTATCTTTCCTAAGCTTGAAAGTTTACAGTGTCCCATGAAATTCTGATTTTTACACATTTTACATTAGTTATAATCACTATTATTTAAACAACAGATTACTATTATTTAAAATGATTTGATTCGCTACTGTATATTATTTTTCAATTTTTCATTCTTTATCAAATTCTAATTATATTTTGCTTTGATAATCTTAATGTCAAATATTTAGTAAAAGCAAATTATTTTTTTTAAAGATTTACAACTGAGTAATGCTTAATAACAAACATCTTATATAATTTTAATATTCATCATGAGTATTAATGATCTTTAATTATTCTTTAGTGAAACATATATATATATACAGTAAAACTTGTGTAAAACAAAACTGCCTAAATGGAAACATGCTTTGAAATGGAGCAGATTTTCTATGTTAAATCTATAATTCAGAAACATGTCCAATATAAAATTAGAAGAGGTTTTTGGGTATGAAGAATATAATATAATCTGGATAAAGCAGAAAAATTAAGATTCCACATAGTAATTAGTAGTATTAGTAGTGTAAATGTAGAGAACTAAGTAAAATCACTACCAACATTAACAGTCATTGTAAAGCATAAACTATTCCAAGAAGCATTTTGAACCTTTTCAAAGAAACAAAGGTCGTGTGACAAGGGAACATACAGACACAAGGCCTTTGTAATGAATGACCTTATGTCTGTACGTTTCTTTAATCTTAGGTTAATGTTAGAATTAACCAGAGGCAGAATTGAATACTTTCAAGAATGAAATGAGTTTTCAAAATTTGAGTTCTCAAGAACTAGCAATGAATGTGATTTACAAAAACAATGATATATGGTAATACACTGCTGCCAATTTGCTTTGTATGGAGTATCCTTTTACATGACAGACAATCATTCCATCAAGACTTTTCTGAAAACCACCAAAGATAAGCATACATATGTCTCATCTTCAGTCTTTTTCCATGTTGTTTATGTCAATCCATATCTTAACTGATATTATTAGACACGCCTATTAATGCTTCTACCTTGAAAGCTGATAAATTTCCAATACTTCCATTCTTCTATATAATAATTCTCAAAGAAATATTTTAGAAGTTAACTTAATTTTAGCATATGTTATGAGTAATCCGATAATGACTTCTAATGTAGTAAAATTGTTTATTCTAAATACAAAAAAATGCTACAAAACATGTATTTATCAATTAAATACTTAATTTATCAGTTAAACTTGTAATAAAGAACTACTGATTTAAACTATAATAATTTACTTCAATTATAAAATAACTTATTATTCAGAAACTAAATTTGTTTCATTTTACAAAAATATAAAACAACTTACTAATTCTATCCACGTATTTATACTAATGGATGGTTCAAGACATTCCACATAATGCCACCAAAGTGGTGGTACACACAATACTTCACCGGGTTCCAAAATAACAGGATGCGGATGTGAAAACTAATTAATAAATAATTTTATTGCATTTAGATAGAATATTAATTCAAATTTTATTTTACAAATAAACATTTTATTTCTAAATAAAACTTTAGATGTGGAATGAAGAGAGAGAAAATTATAATTCAAAATTTGGTTTTTATATTTAGTATAAATAATCAAACATTATATCTATATTATTTAATAAGTCATAGAAATAATAATAATTAATATAATACTAAAATTATAATTAAAAACATTATACTAAAACAGAATTTATATTTTATAGTATTTACATACTCTTGCAATCTTGTTTTAAGTTTTTGTTTTGTTTTGCCTATATAAATATATTGTACAGCACAGCTACATCTAAATTTATACATAACATCCCCTTCATTTAATAATGACAATATGAAAAATTTTATTATTATTTTCCATCTTGTTTCTTCGTATATAAAATTTTTCTTTTTTCATCTTTTTCTTTCCATTTTATGAAAATTATTGTTAATACTTACAATTATAACTTAATGAAATTGTATAAAATTAATAATAATTAAGTGGAATAGAAGCAATGTTAAATATAAAAAATTTTTGATTAAGCATTTTCCAAAATATTTACAAAATATGTACATGTGTCGTCAGAAAATTTCCAGAGACAGTCTAGTGGAATAAGAAAAACACATTAATGGACTGCAATTTGAAAAAATTGTAAACCTATTAATTCCCACTGTTGTCCGCCCATCTTTCCTTAATCTCAAGAACAGAATTAGATAGATGAAATCCAAGACCAGATATGGAAACTTTAAGGGCAGGAGGCCCCAAATTAACCATATATGAACTTCTGATGCAAACAGGAAGTCACATTATTTCAATTTAAAATGCTTTTCTCCTGAAAGCAGTTAATAGATGACCAGCTCAACTCTCTTGTTAAAGGATAAGTATGATGTACAGGGGCAAGCCACTACTAATTTGAGGGGGAGAACATATATTTTAAATTAAGTTAATTAAAAAATATGATTAAAAATTGCAGCCTGGAATTGTGACGATGTCACAATAATATAGTACAGTATAGTTGTAAAATTGCAGGTATATGTTTTGATTTTACATGACAATTCTTGATAATTAAGTACATTTGTTGATTTACAAACATAGATAGTAATAACATGAATAATACTATGTACTAACAGCAATTGGTTGGCATATAAAAAGACTTGCTAACTTCTATATGTCAACCAATTTCTGTTAGTTCATAGTATTATCCATGTTATTACTTTCTATGTTTGTAAATCAACAAATGTACTTAATTATCAAGAATTGTCATGTAAAATCAAAACATATACCTGCAATTTTACAATGATACTGTACTGTTATTTTATGTCTGTAAAACCAACTAACAAATATATTGTATTATAATACCTGATTATGTATTTGCGACATCAGGTCATGTAACCTTGTTACATTAATAAATCTAAATGAATGAATGAATGAACAAAACTTATTCTAACACCTTGTAAATGTGCAGCCAAATTTGTTAACTTCATGTTTACAAGGTATTAGAGTAAGTTTTGTTTATTGAGTAATATGCAGTCTCAGATGAATGAATGAATGATGTCACAATAAATAATTGTTAGTTTATATTACAAAATAATGTTTCATGTCTTCAAGAAAACCTTGAATTGTCTACAACATACCTAACTGCATTCTCCTTGGATGCAATGTCGTGAATATATTTACAAATTCATCAATGTCAATGTGAAAATTGTAATTACAAGTCCTGTAAAGTAACATTCCGTCATTCTAGCTCTCATGTGGTTTCTCAGTCTGCTCAATATGATGAATGACCTTTTGCATTCATATGATAATGTGGAAATTATGGCACAGTTTTAGCAGCACAAAAAGTTCAGAAACATATCTAGACTGCATGTTTTCACCAATTCAGCTAATGTGCATGGCAACTCCTCATCTGCATTTTTGCTAATCCAGTACTTCCATAAAATAATCTGATTTTAAGAAGCTCAAAACTAGGCAGGTCATCACAATATATATCAATGACTCCAATGAGTCAAATACACTTGAAAATATCACACCATATTTACTCGTGTATAAGTCGATCTTGCATTTAGGACGAGGTGTGACTTTAAAGATCAAAATAAAGAAAATCAGATTTATTAATACAATTCTAATTTTATTTCATTTAATCACAAATAAAATATCAAATGAACATAAATGAACACATTGTACTGCAAAAATTACTGGCATTTTAAATGTTAAGGAAAAATCTTGTAAAATTGACAACATAATTTGTTCACATAAAACTGGACAATCAGGAACCTTTTTTTGCCTATTCTTAACAGTTGAATCCACTCTCTGTTGATTACATTTATGAGTTTCTGCAATTTTTGATTCCGAAAAATCATCTGTTTTCATGTGGAAATGGATTAAAACTTATATTTGGCTCACTCCATGTGATTTTGGAATTTCAATTTGGAATTCAATTCAAAAGCTTTGCTTTTCCTATTGCTATTAATCTTTATTCCTGACAATACAAAAGAATGATTCAAATGACCCAGATAAAATACTTTTGTTTTTAAACACAGAAAGGTGAGCATCCGGTAAAAAATGCAAATACACAGTTCACAAAAATTATTTGCAAAAACTCAAAGAATCCTTCGCTTGCACATACAGAATGACCTAGGTTTTTGAAGCAGTGAAAAATGAATAAAAACCTCATCTTATATGCGAGTAAATACAGTAATAATACATTATTAACAGAATTAAATAATATATCTTACAAATTATACTGTAAAAATTTTAATATATACATATGTATTGAAAACTGTGTGATCTAAGGGTCACCATTCATCACTTTATTAATCAACAGTTTATCAGTTTATACAATAAAAACAAAATTCAACTCTAAGACTATCACATTTTTATTGTTAAACAAGTTTAAACATGAACTGGAGCCAAGCTTTGTGATGTATTATAACTTTACATGGCAGGAAAAGAGGGTCTACAGAACCATTAGACTCCCATTGACAACATGCATAAAAATATATAGATTCATAGTAAAAAAGTTCAAATAAAAAATAAATTTTAAAAATACAGATTTTAGAATAATACTGTGTGTCATAAAATATTTCTTTTAAAAATAAATACTAGTAAAAGCACAAAAGCTCTACTACTATTTTTATCTTTATTGATATATCATATTATCTGAATCTAATGTATTTCTGAAAATGATTCAAATATTGGATATTGACATCAAAAAGTCTTTTCCATTATTTCTTTTGGGAAAAATCATAATTTGTTTCTGATCCACACAACCCACTACTCCAAATCATATTAAAATACTAGAAAATGCCTATTTACCTGATCAATCCATATTGTAGCATGATATTACCCATTACAAACTACCTTTAACAAACACTTAATGAGGTCATTAAAGGATATATTTGTAACCAGTAATACAACATATAAATTTATTTAATGCCCTATTAGAAACTATATAGGAATTGCATTTTAATATGCAGTAACAGCAATGAAAATGTTACAATAATAATATACATTTGGTCTTAAAATATTACTGCATTGAAACAGGAGAGAGATGAAAATAAACAAACAAGAAAGTGAACCTAATGTAATAATCTTTGAAGTTACATTACTAATATTACCATTACAAACAAAATTATGAAACTAGAACACTACAAATACATTAGTATATCCAGTAAGATATTTAATATAACAATGAAAACTATATAGTGATAAATTGTGGTATTCAGGTAAATTACAAATATCCATTTATGAAATGTTAATACAGTTGAAAATTATATACTAAAAATAAAAATTTTATTTTTAGTATAAACAGTAAATGCTTTTCCAATATTACCAGTACTTTATGTTTAAGACTTTTGATTTGAATCTTCTATTATAATAAAAGCAAACTATAGTCCATACTAGATAAATATTTGATTGATGTTTCTTAGATTTATCTAGAGATGCCTGCTCTACAATAAAAGAAATACTTTATCAAAGAATTAAGGAAAATTCTTGCTCTACAAAACAAACTTCAACAAACAATCAGGAATCAGCAAAAAATATTGTCAAATGTTTTTTTTCTTTTGTTCATTTCTATGCAAAGTTTGTTCTTCAGATCCCGACAAAACATTTTGTTCTGTTTTTGTATGGATCTGAAGGTAAAATTGTAAATTTCAAAAAGTATTTAAATTTTGACTCCCAGAAACTAAAAGCATAAGCATAATTAAGAGAATTAGTAAAAAAATTGAATTGAATTTATCACAACAAATTTATGTTTTTTCTACATTTTTATAATATATTTTGACAACAGCAACTAAAGCATATTTGAACATGCATACAAAATTTTTTGATTAAACATATTCAGTTTATTATGAAAGCAATTTTAGTTTGAAATATACCTTTGTAGATACATAACCAAATTTTTGATGTACAGTGGGTGATTGGTTAACAAACAGTTCAAACTATGAACAAATCAGATAATAAACACTTTCACAAAGATTTTTATATTCAGATAATGAACACCTCAAAGAACAAACACAAGAAGAAGCAACGTAAAATAATGAATACTGATTGGTCTTCCCTTGTCTTCAGGCAACAATTCAAAACTTTTTGGAGCATGGGAGATGCTGATATCAATGCTCAATCCAGTATATACTGATTGGATAGTATTCCTCCCAACTTTGAAACTCTCCCTTGTAATTCCAGCCTTTTATTTTTCTGACAGAAACAATTCTTTTATTGTATTTACGAGACTGTTGGGCTGGCACTCATTAAGTTTTGTATCAGTTTTTATTTTCGAAAGGTGAAAGTATCAGGTCAGTCCATAAGTTCGTGCGCATTTTTATCTACAAAAAAAGCAACAAAAAATTTTAATTAAATTTTATTTCAATCTATAATGTATTCACCATTATTTTGTACAATTTCTTGCCATCTTGATGGTAGCTTTTTAATCCCGTCTTTGTAAAATGATTTCGGTTTTGAATCAAAATATTCAGAAATAGCCTTTTTTACATTGTTCTCATCCTCAAAAGTTTTTCCTTTTAAAAAATTCTGCAAACTCCGAAAAAGATGATAATCACTGGGAGCAATATCTGGCAAATATGGTGGATGAGGTAAAATTTCCCAGTTGAAGCTTTGGAGTTGAGCAGTTGACGTTGTTGTCAGTTAGCTATTGACAGTTCATGTGGTATCCATTTTCCTAGCTTTGAAACTTTTCCGATTTGTTGTAGATGTCTATGAACAGTTCCATGGGATGAATTTAAACGTTCCGCAATTTCATCAACTGTTAAAGATGGTTCTGCTTCAACTAGTGCAGAGAGAGCATCATCATCAAAGTCAACGGGTCTTCCAGTACGAGCCTTATCCTCCACACTAAAATCATTATTTCTAAATCTTTCAAACCACTTCTGCGCAGTCCTTACACTAATTACAGTTTGATTATGAACAGTATTTAATTTTTTGGCTGCATTTGTAGCATTCTCATCACTTAAAAATAAAAAGTATAAAACATGTCTCTTATATTCATCTGTTACTTCCATTTTAACGAAAATAAACAACTGAAATGTTCCCAATTCTGAACAGTATTATATGAATGAGATCCAATTTAACACTTCAGTGTAAAAAGTATCACATTAGACTGGCATTTTTAACAGCAAAACAAGATCATAAAATACACACGAACTTATGGACTGACCTAATATAATAGCAAAAGTAGAGAGTGAGCAGATGTCTGATGTTGTTGGTTAACAGTATGGCTTGAGCAGGTCTACAGTAGGCCGCAGTTCAATCTTATCTAAGAAAGATACAGTATAATCAAGAAGACTCAAGCAGCTAAAGGAGTAACAAAAATCACATCTGAAAAATAAAGAACATTGAAGAGTTCATAATGGAACCTGAAACTGATCTAACAACAGAAGAATGCCAAGAAACTCAGTGAGATATGTTTTCTTCTGAAAAAGAGGATTAATGCCGATATCTGCTATTAAAGATCTTTTGAAGAAGTGGGAGAATGTCAGAACAACGGTCTTAGAATGGTATCCAAACCAGGTTGAGGTTAACAGGCTTGGGAATCTCTACAATTACAATGCTATTAATTACTTCTGAAAAATCTTGAAGAAGAGAGAAAAGAAATCGACATTATACAGATTCTTTAATCCCCACAAATGGAAAAAACATGACTAATAAAAATGCAAGACTGTGTATATATTTTGTATGTATTTTTATTATTACATATAAATAAATGTAGTAAGAAAGTATATATTTTTTATTTCTTGGAGTTTCCAGAACTAAAGTAATCAAATTCCCATAAAAACTTATGTTAAATCGATAATCAGCTGACAAACAATTCAGATAGTGAACAAAGTCTTGGAACAGATTATGTTCGTTAACTGATCACCCACTATACACAATGAAATTATTATTAACAACAAAAATAAATATATCAGTAATTAAGTGTAATTTACACAATTAATTATCAACTTATGTTAACTTTTGATAACAAAGTTAAGTTTTATGGTGAAATTTATAAACAATTGTTTTATTTATAGTACTACTATTAATTAATTTTTTTTGCTTATCTTACTTGAAATTTTGAATGTTTCTTCTGATTAAATCTTTTCAAATTGACTGAACTAAAGACACTAGACTCTTCATATGGAATACGAGTAGGATAGAGAAATTCGCTGTCTTTTGGAGGAAATAATATCCATAATTTCCTGCATTGATATAAAAAATTAACAATCATTAATGACAATTTGTCTATTAAATAATGTCTATTAAACATATTATTACAAAATTTTATATTACAAGAGGTTATAATTTCATTATTTTCATTTCTATAATTATATGTTAGCTAAAGTTCTTTTAGCCAATTTATTAATTCTGTTTTATGACTAATTTATTTTTTATGACAAAATATAAAGGAAAGAATTGCATTTCTGTACTCAATCTAAGTACTGAAATGCAATTCTTTTCTTATTTCCCAATTGCAGAAATTTCAATGAAATATTCAAATTATTCAATTTTTAAATATTTTCATGTTTTAGTACAGTTCATCCAAATTTAAAATAGATTTTATAATCCTCGTGTACTTGTAAATGTATTTCATAATATTTTTTGAAGTTACAAAAGTCACTGCAAGAGAAGTACTGAACTCATCTCAACAAAACCAGCACCATTGTCCCACCATTGTTGCATGATATTGCTGAGCTAGAAGAGCATATTGTCACAGCCGTGTCCATTATTGACAGGCCCATGTTGCAAAAGGTGTGGCAAGAACTGAACAATAGTATCAATGTATGCTGTGTCATCTGTGACACATATTGAACATTTGTGTTATATAAAAGATTGCTTGAGTTCCTGTCCCATCTAGTGCTGGTTTTGTTGAAGTGAGTTCTGTATTTCTCTTGTAGTGACTTTTTGTAACTCAAGAAAACATTATGAAATGCGCTGTATTATTATATACTGTACACATTATCTGTAAATGTATAGTGTGACTAATTAGGAAAAAATAGGAACATATACAATATTTATGAATGTATAGAATGTTTCTATTTTCTGCATTGCTTGTTCTATTGATCTATCATTAAACATTACAGTATCATATAGGATACTGACAATTCTTATTTCATAATATTGATCCAAGCAAAAAAAAATATCACATGATACTTTTCATAGAATAAATCATAGCATTAAAACCATTTCAATGCTATGTAACTAATTAAACATTAGTCATATATATGCATTAAAATGGTAACTAATTTTAAAAAATTAATAACATATTCATTATTATTTGTGAATGTCATTGAAAATATAAATTTATTGTTTACATTAAAATACAATTTTTTTTTATCATTGTGTTACATTAGAACAGCATTAAAAACTTATTCATTGATAAATTTACCATAAAAATTTTATTGTTTTAAAATATAGTAAACTTTTACTCAGCTGCATATAAACAGAAAAACAAAAATGTCTAATTCTAAACCTATTCAAAAATACAGTTTTCATACGTGAAATAATGAAAAACTATAATAATATATATATATATTTATAT